GACAGCTCTTTTCTCGAGGAAATACGCCTTTGAGAAAGAATGACTGCTTTTCGCCAGAGCTGTTCTTCTACTAGCCTTCGCCAGCCAGACCCTGCCCTGCCAATGTGCCCGTGTGGCACCATTGCCCGCACACTCCGGGCACCTCCTGAGCAAGGCAGGCCCGGTCTGCAGCAGCTATGGACCATGTTCCGGTCTGGGTCAGTCCCATACCAGCTGTGTCTCTCGATCTCTCTGTTCCCTCTTCCCGTTTCAGGAGAAGATCTTCGCTGGGATCGAATACCCTTTCCCACACTGAAATGCTTGGACTCTGAGAAGCTTGGGGGAGTAAGGCCCGTAGGCCTTTGGGAAGGGGCGGGAGAAAATGGTTTCTGCCCTTAGACACAAGTATTAAGACTGCTTCCTGTCACTCTGCTAACCAAAGCGGATGACTTCTCATTAGCTACTTCCCAGGGAGAATTGACGGTGTGTGCTGAAGTGTCAAAACCTCACTGACATGTTTGCCACAGGTGAGAGATCTTTCTTCATGTTCTTTTCAACACGAAAACGTCCTTTAAGGAAGCAATTCATAAAACAAGAAAAGGAGATGCTGCAAAAACCACTTTGGTCTGGACAACACACCTATTTTTGGGAAAAGAATGAAAATCTGGGAAAAGAAATACACAGAAACATAATCATTTTTTTCTCTCCGCCGCCCCCTCCCCAAGCCCCGAGCAATAGCTCCATCTTTAATCAAATATTCGATGAGGGCCTAGGTGGAAGGATAGTCAAATGAGTGCACAGCCAGGGAACACGACTCACAAAGAAACACTCCTGAAAGGTAGCGATGCTCTGGAAAGAACAGCTGAGAAGGCAGATGTTTTGAGATTGATGATGGCAACAAATGTACACATGTGCTTGACACCACGGATGGATTGTGACAAGAGTTGTACGAGCCCCCAATAAAATGATCAAAAAGAACAGCTAAGGAGTATTTTGATGATGTGAAGATGCTGACTTAATGGACACATGTCCATTCGTTTCCTATTTTCAGAAAGCGGTAGAATATTTCTTATAGATTAGACCAGAAATGTGTTCATTTCTCCTACTTGAACGATTTACTGTGACCGATGCTCTTCAGCAAAGGCATGCTCCGTGTCTCTAAACTTGCTCAGGCTTTGTCCAGGGCACCCTCCTGCCCCAGTTCCTCTCCAACGGAGAAGCACGCAGCCTGTACCTCCAGAGAAGCAACAGTGGCCCTGATGGCACGATTTCACCTTTACCCGTAGTTCAAGAGGTCAGGGAAGCCGAGGTTGGTCTGAATGTGTGCAACTGTCAGCAAGGATTAAAGGGAGTGACTCATTCTGCCTTCACACTTTACCCATTGCCATTTCCCTGGCAGCGGAATCTGTTCGGAAAGGGGTGACTTGGAGAGGAAACGCATAGAGAGGAGGGGAGGGGAGGGGAGGGAGGAGATGGAGGAGAGGAGGCAAAGGAGGGCGGGGATTAGCCCTGTATCTTTCATATCACTACCTCTCATCCCTTGCAGTCTCACAGCTTATGATCACAAAAGTTGGTTCAGCTAAATGATTTCAAGGGGTTCTTTTACTGAAAACAAAGAAACAACTTTCCCTCTAAAGCAAAGGTTCAGGATATGCTACCGCTAGAAGATTCGAACAAGACCTAAGAACAAGAATATCACACACCTCACAAGAACTCTAAGACCCTCTCCCTGCATCTAGTGCTAGCCTGAGCACAGTAAAGAAATGCCGAGCAAACACAGCTGCTTTACAGATGGTCAGATTTAATGTCGTCCTAAAAGCAAACAAACACTTTAAAACGCGCGACATGGTTTATAATAGGAAGCACTCCTTCGTACAATCTTGAGAACAAGGACACCCAGGCCCCACCGATGGACTTTAGCAGCACGGTGGGGTCAGCGCTGCTGTTTCAGAGCTCTTTCTGTTCTCATCTCAGACTTGCAGGGTGTTGTGCTGGGAGGCTCCTTCAGGATCACCTCATCACCCACGCAGGCTCCTCATTTCACAGATGAGCCAACAGAGACTCGGAGAGGATGCAGGATTCGACTGAGCACACGCGAACAGAAAGGTTGGAGCTAGACTCAGAAACGGGGTCTCTGACTTCGGACCCAGGGTTCTTGCAGCCCAGTACTTTTTCTATTGCATATCACAGTACACACACACACACACACACACACACACACACACACACACAGTTATTCTAGGCCCCAAAGCCCTGAAGTTTTCTCAGTTCAAATGATGAGCTAATTCTCCTGGGTTTCCCCACTGCAGCACACAGAGAATGCGATGGTTCACAAGACGAGAGAAATCAGTACTTAGAAAATTGGCATCTGTCACGAGTCTGGGGACAAAGGAGTGATAGGAAAAATAGCCCCATGGAACAGATCTCTGAGGTCTTGCAGTAAGAAGCCAAATGGCATAAAACATACTCTTTTAAGCCCATGACGATGCCAAGTGGCTTTTATGATAGCGAATAGGATAGCAGCTCAACTAGAGTTCAAGGAACTTCTAAGAACTCCAAAGAATCCAGACTCATTGCTGTGTCAAGTCTGACTCCCGGTGACCTTACCCGACAGAGTGGAATTTCCCAGGTGGGTTTCCCAGGCTGTCAATCTTCACAGGTGAACAGAAAGCCCTATCTTTCTCCCACAGAGCGGCTCCTAGTTTCGAACTGCTGATCTTGAGGTTAGCAGCCCTACAGCTAACGAACTAAGAACGACGCACCTTGCAGTTCGGTTCTGAGGTCAAAATGCATTGACTATGACTCTACTATTCTTTCCCCTCACCCAGCTCTCCCCACGTTCCTCTGGAGTAAAAAATCCCCCCAATTAAGATATAGTTGTGGCACAGAATAACTCCCCAAGTTTTCTTTTTGACTCAAGTCACACCTCGGCACATTAGCAACGCTAAGAAAAAAAGAAAACATAGGGTTCGTATTGGTTGCCAACCTTTTTATACAACTCAGTGACATGGGTTCTCTTCACCGGGTGGTGCGAAGAGCCGTGCCTTTTCTAGTCGTTTATTTCGATTTTGTTGTTGTTGGGAATACACAAGTCTGTGCGCTTTTGAATTTTCATGACTGCAATTCCTTCTCCTTTCCCAAGAAAATGGCCCACATTTCAGACCTCCCTCTCTACCAGGAGTGAGGGTTCTCTCCTTAAATCCTTGGTCAGTCTTCCCTGTCTCCACCAACAAACCACACTTTGATGCTTATGATTCTGAATAAGTCAGTAAGCACCTCCTCTGAATTCTAATGTAACATCTCCCCCGTCTTATCTCAGTAAGCAATGTCTCAGGAGCTTCCACTGCCCAATTTTGGAGAGACGGGAGCATGCAAGGTTCTGCTTGCATGCAGTCACTTCCAGAGCAGTGCAGCAGCTGCCGCAAACGGTGTCAACACTTCAAAGAGGTCTTTTGCAACACATTTGCCCAAAGCAGTTCCTCCTTTGCTTTCTTGACAGCTAACTTCCATGGGCATTGATTGTGGATCTGAGTGAAACAAAACTCCGATATCCTTGACGACTTCAATCTTATAGGATGTTGATTGGCCCAGCTATGAGGATGATCCCCACCTACCTTTATGTTCCCATGGAATCCACACCACAGGCTGTAGGCTGTGATCGGCATCAAGAAGGAAGACCAAAGAAGAATGCGTGCACTTGAATGATGGGGTTGGTGAGAGGGGTTTTCAGATGGCTTCTTGGGATCATAATGCAGGGAAGCACCCTTACTACACATGACCCTCGAGCCCCACCCCGCCCTGACAAGTCTACAGAAGAAAAGGGACTGAGACAAGGGGTGGGGAGGCGGTGGGTCTACACTGGAATGCTCCAGCCGGGCACAATTTATTCTCAGTGACTAAACGGGTACAAAAAAAAAACCTTCAAAAAAAGGTAATACAGTACATTTTAAAAAAAGGTAAAAACCCCAAATGCTTTTCGGTTGATCAAAACAAAAGGAACAAGCAGAAACAAACACTTCAAGAGGTCATCTTCAGCGGTAGAGGCTCTTTCAATAGAGCTCTGTGACTTACACACACTGCCTGCAGGTATCAGATACTACAGACTAGCCCAGAACGGAGCCAGAGTTAAAAGGCCAGCCAGCACCGGGACCTGAGAAAGCTCCCGAAGAGAAGAGCCACGGAGAAGCCCAGGTGAAGAATCCACAGCAGCGAGCGGCTCTGGGAAAAGCAGACTGCCGGTTTCTAAACCATGATTACTGTGGAGGGAGTGCTATTTTTGTTTGGTAACTATTTTTTGCTCAAGATCACTGGCTAACTTTCAATTGACAGCAAACCTGATGCCTGCAGTTCCACTGTCGACTTCAAATACATCGATCTTCGTCCCCATGATGACGTTTGGAGAAACATCTGGAAAAGTCCAGGAAAACATCTCCACCCCCCTGAAGTGCTGACACACTAGGAAGCATACGTGTTTCTTAGCCGTCTCACACTGTGGCTTCTGACAGTGTGGAAACAGTGTCATAAACAGCCACTCCAGTAAGACACAGGGCTGATGAAGACCTCCTTACTGAAATCTGTTTCCCCCCACCCCACCCAGTGCAACTTTCCTGCTTAAAGCCAACCTTCACATGGAAGAAAGGCTGCTAATCCACTTCAGAGCAGGAAAGCAGCTCACAGAATCAACTTGTAAAACACAGTGACAGAAGATTACAAAACTGCCATCTCAAACAGCTCCCTGGTGTAAATGGCATCAAAGTTCTCAAGCAACATAATGCCATTCGGAATAAAGAGGAAGCAGCAGCCTGGGGTGGCACGGACCCCTTTAGGAACGGGGACCCCACTCCTCCCCTCACCTGGAGTTCAGACACTTTAGGTAATGTCTCTTGTTCTCTGGGTTCTCATGATCAAAATGACCCCTGGAGAACAAAAGCCAAGTACAGAGAGGAGGCTAGGAAGGGCCTGCCCTTGGTTAGCGCATCCAAGCTTTGCTGACAGCAGCAGGGGAAGGGCTGTGTGCTTACCAATGAACTTCTGAGGCATTGAGCTTTTTCGTTTTGCCACATTGCTCGCTAATCTGTCCAGCACGAGAGCTCTTTCACTTCCCATCTCGGCTTTGATATGTCTGGCCTCCACACTTGCTGGTTTGGGAGAAACGCAAAGACAAGGAAGAGAACACATTGGTCAATGGGAAGAGAAAGCAATCAAGCAGGAAGGCAAAGTGCCAGAGGTCTGAGCCACCGCCTTGTCTTGTTACCTCTCGTCACTGTGCACAGGGGACCTGCTGTGGACAGTGAGGCCGGCACAAGGGCACATTCAAATCTTGAGTCTTGTGCTGAGATGGGAAAGCCCGACCCATCCCCAGCCAGTACCTTCATTAGCAAGAGGAAGTATTAAATAAACAGCCTGGACGTGGTTGGTTGCAAAAAAGACAGATAGATGGAGATCTTTTAACCCCTGATCAGCCTCTTTCTGATTCTGAGTAACTGTGAGTGGGACACCTGCAGACGGGTAGAGTTCTTCTTAACAATTTTGAAAAAGAAAGAAAGAAAAGTACAGTGTCCTGGCTTTATCGCTCTGTTTATGTTAATAGCACTTTTGAAAATAGAGACGCTTACCCAGAGAGCAAGAAAACCACCCTGTGATTTGTGTATTGAAATTCTCAGTGTCTGAGGTGACTGCTTTTCCCCTCCTCCCCCAGCCTCTCAGTGTCCACCGTCTCAGTTCTGCTTCTCTGGGCTCTGAAGGGTCTGTTTGCATGCAGTCTACATTCAGAATGGTCTCGACTTCTATTCCCCTGAACAGCACATCTGTCTTGAAATTAAAGAACAATGTACACAACAGAGTTCTATGATATTTGTAATGAACAAGGTGAATAAAAACTGCCCAGGGTATGGGCTAACTGCCAATACACAGATAGACCTCAGAATGGGGTGGGCTTGTAGTTCTGAGACCTGGATGTATGTAAGAAACGCCTATGCCCAAGCCCCACTTAAGACCAACTACATGAGGATCGCTGGTTTTGACAAGGCTTAGGCAACAAAATAGTTAAAGTTCCTCAGGTGGTTTCTAAAATCCAGCCAGAATGGAGAAGAGTAGATTTGCAGAGCGCCAATATGTAACCAACTAATACAGTAGATTGAGACACAGTATAATCTTGGGGCAGGAGGCAGTGCCCAATAAATATGTATGCCTAAAGTTTAAAGAGATCTGCTCAACTTTAGACATATGCTGCTGCCCTAAACTACATTGTGGCCAACTTTTTCTGTAAGGAGTCAGAGAAGAGGGGGCCCTAAGTGAGTGCCCCGCTGCTAACTGGAAGGTCAGAGGTTCGAAACCACCAAGAGCACCTTGGGAGAAAGATGTGGCAGTCTGCTTCCGGAAGCTGACAGCCTGTCAACCCAACAGGGCAGTTCTAGTCTGGCCTGTCCGTGGCTATGCGTTGGTTGGCCACAGGTTGTCCACCCCAACTACCAGCCGGACAACAGCAACCGCCCTAATCAAACCTGTTGTGACGGGGCAAACATCTCTCTGTTGTACCATAAGCTTTTCAGGTTCCTTGGTGGCACAGCAGGTAAGTACTTACCTATGAACAGTTTGGCAGTTCAAACCCACCTGTCCCTCAAAGGAAAGTGGTCTCCCCTGTAAAGATGACAACCGAGGAGAAGGTTCTCAACCTTCCTCAGGCCGCGACCCTTTCATACAGGTCCTCATGTGGTGGTGACCCCCAACCAGAACATTATGTTCGTTGCCACTTCATCACTGTCATTTTGCGACTGTGATGAATCAGGGGACCCCTGTGAAAGGGTCATTCGACCCCCAAAGGGGTCGCGACCCACAGGTTGAGAACCGCTGCTCTAGGCAGTCCCATCTGACACATTGCCTTGGTACGAGCTGGAATGGGCCCGACAGCAGGCTGGACTCCAGCACTGGTACATGAGACTAAACGCCCCAAATCAGCTGCCACGGATGCACGTGCGTCAGAGCAGGACTGCTTCACAAGGCTTCCAGCGGCCGAGTGATTCGCCAGGCCTTCTTCTGAGGCGCCCTGGGTGGACGGAACCTTTGGCGAGCAGCCGTGCAGGTGAACGGTTTGTATCCAGGCACAAAAACAGCACGTGGTGATTGCTGAGTGATCTTCCCGCCACAAGACATGTACACAGATGTGGGGGCTGTCAGCATTCATTCTACAGTTGAAGCGTGCACCACTTTTGTTATGTGAAGAGATTCTGCTAACTAGAAATAATGGCACAAATCCCATAGCAAACAGGCAGGCCCAGAGAGAAGCGAACGGGCTCCCTCTGCAGTATAGGAAAGTTCTGGAAACTCTCCCAGGGCAAGACGAGGACATGCGGCCACACGGAGAGGACCGACACCTGTCCAGAAAAGGCACAGGCAAAATGGACCATTGTTTTCATTGTCACTAGAACGGAAGCTGTATGCTAGTCATTACACAATAAATCCCAAAGCTCGGCTTTCCACCTCCCCCATGCCCCACCCCCCCAAATTCAGGAATAACATGAAATCTGCTTTCAAAAATATGGACAAGGAAGAGAATGGTGAGAATGACCGTATTTGCTAGATTTGGTGAGATTCTGGTCAAAAATGAGTCTATGCTCTAAAGAAGTAAATCCGTCTCCACTGCGTGAGCTAGCAAGACCCTGTGTGTAAACGAGGACAGGAGGAGTGAGGGAAGGGTTTAATAGCTTTTGTTGACTAGCAGCTGTGCGGTACCCGACAGGAGACTGACACTGCGTGAAGCGGGTCACATCTTGCCCAGCACAGGGATGCGTTTAAAGAACCCAACAGGAAACTATTTATAGATTGTTTCCTTTTACACAAACCACGGCCAGATGCGGCACCGCCCAGATCCCCCGAGTCAGAGGTGGGAGACAAAAGCTTGGGATTTGCAATGAAGTCTTGAGGTTGCTTTATAAAGAGGCTCTCTCCTCCGAGGCAGGAGCGAGGCAGCTAAGTCTGTGCTGTGACAGGGAAAGCTTCCTTCCGGTTCAGCCAATTGTGAGAGGAAACCTCGGCAGAGCGAAGAGCGACCCACTCCCCTTTATGAGACGTGGGTCTCTTAGCACTCGCCGTCTACATTTACCCCGGGCACTGTCAATCACAACGAGCTGTTTCCTGAGCACACGTAATCAATGTCCTCTCTTTTCAGAAGGATGCTGAAGTGTGGATGCTCTGACCTAAATAAGGTAATTAGGACATGTCACTAAATGTCTGCTCTGAGATAGCATCATCATTCATCCCTGGTTACTCACCAACCTTGCCCTGATAGTCATTTCCAGACATAGCTTACTCTGTAAATCGGTGACCAAATTCTGGGCATGTGAAAAAATAAAAAAATCAAGGCTCCAAAAGATTGACGGGTGGACAGATGATTTGAGGCATAAAGCGAGACTTTCCCATTTCCACCTTTCTGGTTAGAATGAAAGACAGCTTCTCAAAGTAACCTCGAGAGATCCCTACACCCACACCCTTTCCTGGACCATCAAAAAACATCCACTGAAAATAACGATGCCAACGTCTCAACCCTTATTGTGCACCAACACACGTTCCAGAGGCCACGTCCCACTCTCCCGAGTGAACGAGGGTTAGGCTAAGCACAAGGGTGGTGGTTCCCACCTCCTGCCAGCGGATCCACGGGGGACAACATGGTCCTACAGAGGGTGCAGGAAGTCAGCATCAGCTTGATGGCAGCGAATTTTGGGGGGTGGTTACGAAGGTAGTTACGAAGGTAAACTTGATTTTTAATTGGCTCCTTCGGCAAAGACCAAACATTTTTATTGAATCTGGTGTAGTCTGATTCCCCTTCTTCAGTCTTCCAGTTGTGACAAAAGCAAAGGACAAAAAGTCTCTCCTCTCACAGTTGTTGGACAGCTCCTGCGCCAGGCCACCAACGGGAGCCCTTTAAAACGTAAAGAAGCGCTCCGGGGTTAGGCAGTCTCTTTGGGCTTGTGTATAGAGAAATCTGGTTAGCGTATTAAATTTTTTATTTGAAGATAAAAGAAAGAAAAAAAAGATGAGTATTGACTATTGACACCACTCAACTGTCTATCTATACAAGTCTAGACTTGCTATCTTGCAGCATCATGTCTCAGAAATGTAAGTGGAGGAAAACCAGTTTGGCAAGATAGTAAAAGAACAAGATAATGGGTCTACATGACGACATAGGAAATCCGTTCCTGGGTGGTGTTGGGCAGTTTAATGTTGCAAGGGGTGGGTGTGGGGAATATGGGAAGGTGGCAAGGAACAAGGTGCGTACCAGGCTCACGGGTGCAGACAAAAGGAACAGGGCTGACATTCTGGATAGATTTTCCTTCCATCACTTGCCTACTATCATGTAGATCAGCCCATTTTCATCAACAACAGGATTTTAAAAAAGGGAAAAAAAAGTAGGAAGTCCTCATGACAGACTCGATTTCTACCTTGATTTCCTGCCCCAGCCTTGCTAGCTCACTGTCTGCTTCGGAGTTAACTGTTTCCATGATGCAATTCCCATTTCAAAGTGATTGCCATTTTAACTCTGTCATTGTGTTGGGTTTTGGTTTGCGTTTGAATTCTTTCATTAGGTCTAGAAGCCTTAACTGGAGCTCAACAGGAGCCGTGCTTCCTGTCTCTTCTCTGCTGTGGTCAGTCAGTAGCTAATGGAGAGTGGCCCGAAGGGTGTCACTGTGCAGCAGGAGTTGTCTAACAAGAGATTGCTATCAAAGACCGGGGTAGGTTCGAACAAAAGTTACATAAAGCTTTTTGTCCTTTTGAGCAAAGCGAACACTTCCCGTGAGATAGGATCAATTGAAAAAAAAAATCGTCAGTTAGGAAAACAGACTCTAAAACACATTTTAACTTTCTGGGGCTGCTGCACTAGTAAAACTTTAACTTCATTCTGAAAACTTCATGCTTATATTCTCACTCTAAACTCAACTGCCATCGAGTTGATTCTGACCCACAGCAGCCTCCTAGGACAGGGTAGAACTGCCCCTGCAGATGCCCCAGAGGATAACTCTTCAGGGAGTAGAAAGCCGCGTCTGTATTCCTGAGGAGCAGCTGGTGGTTTTGAACTGCTGATTTGCAGACAGCAGTCCAACATGTAACCACTACGCCAACAGGACTCCTCAATTTAAACAATGAAAACAAAGATTAAAAAGGACTGACTCCTAGATTCACAAATCTATGTAGGTATGTATAATACATATCTATTTTTCCATTACTTAAAATGGAATTGTCATTCCGAGAATTTGCCGTCAGATAAAAATATGCTCCAAGTGTTTGTAATTTGTGTGAAAATCCAAAAAAGCTAAATGAATCTCTGGGCCAGCTATTAATTGCGTTCTAGAGTAAGGATCAATGAGAAAATGAAGTCCAAGGTATTCTATGATTTTTCTTCTTTTCCTGTAGATTCCTTGAAGACAGTGGGATTGGGATATCTGGACAATGCTGCTTAGGGTGTCTGATGGCAGACATTTGGACTAAAGACCAAGAGTACATGGTTTCTATTAGACCTCTGCAGTGCATGAATAGGTCAGGTGCCCGTTCCTTTGTTGGCTTGCTTATGAGCTAAGAGTGGAGGCTTAGCCTTCAAACGCCTTTGCCAACAGTTCGGGCACAGGACCTGTACCTAGGATAGTCAACAAACACTCTCTGAAATAATCAAGCGGTTAGCACGGTGAGAAGCCCTGTCACCTCAGGTGCCTCCTGTGCAGGCTGGCTGCCACACGAAGCCTGTCATTCATTCTGCTTCCAGAAAGGCCTGCTGCCTGAAGGCTTGTTCCAAGGCCTGGCTCTCACACTAGGCCACCTTCCAATGTGAAATAAGAGCTTGATAAACGCATCCTGCATCTGCAGTGTCAATGGAGAGCCCTCCGTTTAAGTTCAGGGTAAAGGGGACGATATCTAACCGGTGATGCTACAAACAGTTCAGGCTCATGATGAAATATCACACCAAACCATGGCTCCCGATTTTAAGAAGGAAATAAAAATGGAGGCTTTAGAGCAGTGGTTCTCCACCTTCCTCATGCAGAGACTCTTTCATACAGTTCCTCATGTGGCGGTGACCCCCAACCATCACATTATCGTCATTGCTACTTCATCACTGTCATTTTGCTACTGTGATGATTCGTCATGTAAATATCTGACACGCAGGATGTATTTTCATAATTTCATTGAGTTATGTTCAGTGTTACAAATTCATCACAAAACAGTATGTCATTATATATTGTGAAATATTTATTTCTAATGACAAATAAATGACATTTTGTCTTGAAGCATGGTGTAGCATGGGTAACAGTCTTCACACTGGGTACCCGTGTGTGGGCGGATCTGCATGTGGGCGGACCCGAGCAGCGGTGTCTCGGTTCCTAAGACCATGGGAAATATATGTTTTCCGATGGTCTTAGGTGACCCCTGTGAAAGGGTCGTTGGGCCCCCAAAGGGTCGCGACCCACAGGTTGAGAACTGCTGCCTTAGAGGGAGCAGTGGCAAAGATGAAAGGATTGGCTGGTGTTGCATTAAATATTCTTTTCACTTTTAAGAAAAAAATCACGAGAACTATTTAAAACACGAGACAGAGTCATCTATTGACTGCCATGCAGTATTTATATTTGACTGAGTTGCGAACTTACACATTCTGTAACTGAAACTATCGTTACAGCATGTTTGTTTCCAAAAAATAAAAAACTGGCTGACTTAGTTAAGTCTCCTTTTTTTTCTGCTGAGCCTTAGAGTATGTTGCACGCATCCATCAAAACACCCTTGGAAGTGACTCACTCTTTGTAGTTCAGCATTTTCTGCATTAGCAAGTGACAGGTAAAATATTTCTTTTAACAAGCTTTCCTAATTTGAAAATTCCTGGCGTGAGACATAAGACCATAATGTTGAATAATTTTGGGCCTAATGTTCATAGGTTTTACAGATTTTTTCCCTCTATTTCCAGGGGAATCAAGATATACATATGAGGGGGCTTCAAAAATTTCATGGAAAATTTCCATTATCTTTTCATTCTGCGCTTCCATAAAGGTTTTGAAGCCTCCTCTTATATGACTATGTCATTATGGCGCTGGAGTTAGGCACTGCTAACTACAAGGTCAGAGGTTCAAATCTTCCAGTTGGTTCCCTGGAGAAAGAGGAGGCTCTCTGTTTCTCTGAAGACCTCCCAGCCTCGGAGACCCCACACGGGGTCGCAATGAGTTGGATGGACTCCATGACTGGTGTTTTGGTTTGGGGGGGGAGGGTTATGTTCCCATATTTCTTTTGCTATACGATAATATGTAATCTTCTAAAAACAGTTAATCAATGGAAATCATCCAAATGTCCATCAACTGATGGATGGATAAAAAAAACGTGGCATATACAAACATTGTAATTATTCTGTAGTCAAAAAGTGATGACGTGCCAATACATGCTAAACCATGAATACACTTGAAAACATCATGCTAAGTTAACGAAAGCAGACGCACAGGGCGAACTGTATGATTCCATTAATGTGAACCGTCCACAGTCGGTAAATCCGTAGAAACAGGACGCAGATTAGTGGCTGCTAGGAGTCGGGGAGGGGCAGGTGGAGAGTGACTGACTGCTCACTAGGTGAGTTTCATTTGGGGATGATGGAAATGTTCCAAAATTAGATAGTGGTGATGACTCTACAACCTTGTGACTAGACTAGAAATGACAACCTTGCAGTATGTGAATTATAGTTCATAAGGTAAAAAAAATTGCAGTTAGCCACAAAATCCACTAAAGTTCTGGTGGTTTTTACACCAGTCACTGCACTTGGACGGGTCTGTTTCCTCGTCTCTAAAATGAAGAGGTGGGATTACATGTTCTCTTGAATCCTTCTCGCTGCAGGCCCTGACCATTCTCTCTGCAGACGTTCACCGCTTGGAACTAACTTCTCACAGTTAGAGCGTTTCCTGGGGCCTGAATTACGGACCTGGAAATAAAGGTGCCCACCCTTCGTGCTAGGGGGAAGTCCTCCTTAACAGAGTAACCTGAAGCATGCCTTTGAAGAGGTCAAAGCCCAGGTTTTAAGTGCCTGTGTCGTTTTCTCCCTTTGTTTTTCGAAAGAGTGTAGCCATGTCTCTTTAGAAATAAGGAGGAAATCCAACTGCTTGATAAAAGCTAAGATGCCAAGGGTGAGATGCAGAAGCAGTGGCCAGCCAACTGAATTCCGTTGGCCAGCTCCCAGCGCTGTCAAACAGGCTTTATCTAAAGCAAAGGCTTCCTCTCTCAGTGCTGCTCATGGTTTCCATCCCGTGTCTCCTAGCTCCACCTTATTTCTGTGTAACCTTTCTGTGGGAGGGTGTTCAAACTTTCCAAAGGCCGAGATCAAAATCCTACAAGGACTCCTACCTATTCTAAGTAAGTAGTTGGTTCCAGTAACCAAGTGAAAATGTCAGACATCTAAAGCTGCAGGGCTCGGCTGACGGTGCGCTGGGGAGGCGGCGGCAGAGGTGCCACACAAACAACGCTGCAGATGGTCTCGATGAACAGAATGATGGAAAGAAGACCAAGTTCGAGATACGTAAAGGCACCTAGTGCTTCAATCAGTTGCCACTAGGCAACTCATTCGAAGTAATAGCTGTGCGATCCCCAGCGCTAAATATGAGCGTCACAGTAGACTGTATGTGCGGACAAAGATGTGATTTTTAGGGACTCTGAAACAAACATCTTTGCCGCTTGCCTCAACTCTGCCCTGGCCTCCCTGCAGGCTGCTCCACTCCGGGTCTTCACCCCTACAGCTAATGGCAATTCTGTGCTGCACGTCACATGGCGCACCCACTCTGCGAGGAGCCCCTTTCGGATAGAGGAGAGACCAATGCTCACCACTGCCGCCTACCCAAGACACCACTTTCCATTGCTTGTGGCTGCACGACCTCACGGGGCTGCTTCATTTCCAGCTTTCCCCCAGGAACTCGAGTCTCAAAAGCAACTCTGAGCGATCCTTTTTCAATGGTTAAGTCAACTGTATCAGCTCTCTGTTTAAGACCTTCCCGCTATTTCATCTTGCACTCAGAGTAAAAGCCCAGGTTTCTGCCGTGGCCTGCAAGTCCTGACAAGATCCCCGGGGCCCTTTCCTCCTTGGCCTCCTGTCTGGTCAACAAGACTGTGTCCATGTTGGCAAACCAGAGCTCGGGCGGGGCCTTTATGGGTGCTGCTCCTTGGGGACTCCTCCTGCCCTTTAGGGCTGTGGAAAGGTCACTTTCTCCTGGAAGCCTTCCCTGGCTCCCTCTCCTGCCCTGAGTGCCGGTATCGTTTTCAGCATCTACCCCTCCTGAGATGGATATAGCCTATCATTTACTTCCTTCCGGTCTTCCCTCAGTGAACTATACCCGGCAGGAGTTTGGGGTCTTTCATCCTGGAGCAGTGCCCAGCCTGGTGGACGCTCCCTAGGTGAGCGTGCCTAGACTCACCGGACTCCCCCGGCTCGGTGCTCTGCAGAAACGTGCGGCAGCGCTCCTTGTGCTCCTCCAGCGAGCTCCTCTGCTTGTAACTCCGCCCGCAGAACTCGCACTTGTAGGGTTTCTCCACTGCAAGCAGAGCACAAGCGTTGTCAGAACAGAGAAAACCAGAGCAGTGAGCCTTGAGAATCTGCATGACTCTTTCTTTTCTTTTTCTCCCCAGAAACATCATAACGGATTTATTAATATGCAAGATAAAAACCTCATCATCTCAACAAAAAAAACATCCAATCATCTGCACTCACTCGGAATTAGAGGCACACATCAGGTCAGCATCTGAGTCATTTCTTAGAATCGATGACGCATCATTATTTGTGAAATCCATACACAAACATTAAAAGGACATTTATATTAGGCCCACACAGTTACAGTAACAGCTTACCTAGAGTGACTTGTGCACACGGAGTTAATTTGGTCAGCATCGATACCTGCACCAATTCCTATTTCCTAATTTATGGGCACAACCTCTAGTTTAATGGTAATTTTACTTTATTACTAACTTCCAGTAGTTTTACTGGCATGTCGTTCACAGACCATATGATTCAATAGTCCAACTGAGTACATTGAAAAGTAAGAATGAAAGAAATGGAAGTTGAAACGGAAGACTAGAGGGGACAGTCTATACTTGATGATCATGTCAGAGTATTCCTTTAAGGCCAGATGCCTACGCCAGAAGAGAGCGGAGGAACAAGTGTGAGGAAAGGGTTTCGTTCTGGGGTGCACGGGGACGCTGTGGGTCGACTTCCCAGCAGCATCCCACTTTTGCTCCTGATCACTTCTTGTTTATTTGACAAAGAGAAAAAGCAGGCCCCACTTTATTCTTCCCGTGGCTGGTGTGGTTTCAGAACGGAATTAAGAAAGGGCTCCCAAGATAAAAACCTGACCAATGGCTACCAGGGCTGAAGGAGGAAGAGTAGGGACATGGCGCTCATGGCAGTGGTGGCGGGATAATTTGGAAATGGCAGTTGTTGTACAACACAAAAGAGTAGAAACAACGGCACTGAATCATACACAGAGCAGCTGTGGGACCGGAGACTGTTTCCTTGGGTATGCGTTTGCCACAATTAAAAAATAATAATTACACAAATAACAATGAGTACCAGGAAGAAGGAAATGTTTCCAGAATTGATTGAGGTGATACATGTACAATTCTTCTTGCAGTGATCGAATTGCATGGCCTGTGGATGAAGTACCAGTGAAACTGCTATAAAACCAAACAAGGAAAGGGCTTCTCATTTGGGGGCATCCGCCTGGCTGGGAGCGAGGAATGCGGCTGGTGGGGATGCGGCTATTCAGCTGGGAACCGATGACGCACGTGGGTAAATCTAGCTCATCCTTGTCAAGTGGCTATAGCAAAGTCTGGGCCAAAATAGGAAAAGTCCGCTAATGAACTAATGCTACTGTCTGACTATAGAACGCAGGATACATTGGAACCGTGATTCGCCTTCATTTCTGAGAGAGAGCGGATGTTTCTTCAGAAGTTTATCTACACCATCCAGAAACCTTTATCATCTCAACTCCTCCAAATACCTGATTCTTGAAATATGTAAGCAATAACTCCAGCTCTCCGGCTTCGTTTTAGCTGTTCAGGGCTGGTCTTCAGCTATGTTGATGAAATATATCCTATAATTTTGCCGGTGTATTAGGGACTGAGATTTTATTTTCTCATTTGTTGCTCTGCTTAAAACAGGCATTGGGGTTGAGTGCAACAAAAGACCCTTATCATCCAAATGAAAATAAAGTCAGGTTTGGAAGGGGCAAAAATGTTAGTTGCTTTAGCATAAAGTGGGGGAGTTCTCTAGATTCTATCTTAAAAAATGACTACAATTGGGTCTTATTGACAGAGGCAACAGAAGGGAGCGATCATATATATATATAGAGAGAGCGATATATATATATATATATGGAGCGAGATATATATGTATATATATAGAGAGAGGTGGGGGGACGGACACCAAACTCAGCATTGTAATCCATTCCCTGGAAGCCCCCCTTTGCCTCTTGTGATCTACCATGGTGGTCGTGTTGAGGCTGGCTCGTTCAATTCCTTCATCTCTGAAGATCAGTCGGGAGTTTGGGGCTTGGTTTTAGTCAGGGCATCCCAAGAGGATTGACAAACGAAGAAAGACAGCCTTTTACTTTCCTTTCAATTAAAATTTTCTTAGGTAACATCAAGGACATGACGAGGTCTCACGTCTGTCAAATTAGTCATTTTTTTCTAGGAAGGAAATCCCAGCAACGTTCCTTATCTTTCCCGTGTTGTTCCTTCACACTTTTATTTCAGTGCAACCCTCTGGGGTGAATTTTCGCTCTAACGTTGCAAGCAAACACGTCTACGGACCGCCCAACCTCTTCAAAGGCAGAAGCAGGCGGACGCATCCCGAACGCCGGGTCATCCTTGGGCAGGGGTCGTGCTGATCTTCCCTGTCCGGTTCCCATGTTCGTTTATGCGCTACCATAGCGAGTGCCGAAACATTTACCATCCGTCTGCTCCAGGTAAAGCGCGGACACATAAAACAGAGCACGCAGCTTTGAAATGACTTTTTGCTACTGCTCATCTTTTCGAAGCAAAAAATAAACGGGCTGTTCAAAAGTGAAATTGGAGAAATTTAGCCCAGAATATTCCAAAAGTACCTCCAAAGCAAATGATGCTCCGCTTACAGGACTGTCATCATCCACAAGGTGCACCTTGCTTGCTTGCTGGACTTTTGAGTGGAAAGTGTCTTCTTTTTAGGAGAAGCGCCTTTTTAATCAAGTTTAATCCTAAGAAAAATCCTGGTGGATACATATAGATTGCAAAATACACACACACACATAGATAGATTGCAAAAGTCAAGAAAAGGCATTTTTTACAGGGCCAGCTCCTCATGTCTGTGTTGTTCTCTCGGGGAGCCAGGATGGCAGAGAGATGATCCTCCCCAGTGAGCCAGACGGAGAGCAATTAATGCCTTAATGGCAGTGTAATTAGCCCTAGAGGTCTCTGCTGGTGTAACCCTTCAGAACGAGAATGACAGACGAAAACCTTCACACTTAACTCTTTCCAGCTGGGCCGGGCGTTGGTGGGCCGTGGAGCCTGGTCTCTCTCACTTACCCGAATGTGTCCTCAGGTGGCCCGTGAGCGCATCCCTTCGCTGGCAGGCATAGCTGCACAGGTGGCACTTGAAAGGCTTCTCCCCCGTGTGCAGTTTGATGTGGCGGAGGAGGTTACCTTTCTGAGTGAAAGATGCCCCGCACTGGTTACACTGGAATGGGCGTTCGCCTTTCAAAGGGGACACAAAGGAGACTGGTCACCATGCAAGTAGGGCAGGTGAGATGCCCACAGCCAACACTCTCTTTCTGCCAGTTTCTGTTCATCCTGGGAGCAGCTGAGCTGAATCTCAAGGCCAATCAAAGACAGACTGATGGAATCTTCCCTGTAAAAGGGGAAAGCACCCACCTGGGAGGGCTGCCTCAGGTTATCTGGGCTTGAATCAGCGCAGAGAAACAGAACAGCTCTAGAAGTATTTTCCAGATGTAAAACTGAATATTGCTTAGCACTCCTTTGGAATGTCATTTCTACCTGCAAAAACCACCCACAGACTCAGGTCCTAAAAGGCACGGAGCAAGACACGATTCTTTTCAGGGTCTCCCTCTCAGATGTCCGATGGGCTCAGTGGGATTATGCTCCTGGCTATTTCCATGCTTATTAGCCGGAGAGCAATTCTTTAAGATTGGCAGCAAAAATGATTTTCTTTCACCTGCCAAATCTGAACCCGATACAGTAAGGAGCTCTGCTTTTACTAAAAGCATCTACGCAAAGATAGATGAAAGATATGCCAGGAACCAAATCACCCATCCAACTCCTACGTGTTAACAGAAAGCTCTCTGGCTGACCTAGAACACCGTGACTTCCTTCATAGCATTCGCAGTACATTAGCCAACTGCATGGCGCAGCCCGGCAATAAAGAGCCACTGGTTGTATAGAAACACAAAAGGGCAGCGGTAGCAGAAAGCCATGGAACTAATCAAAAGCACCCCTCCCCACCCCCCAACTCCACCATTTCCCACGTGGCTGCCTTCAGACGGTTTTCAGAAGAATGGAGAAAGGAGGCGCTTTACCAGTATGGCTCCGCTTATGGACCATTAAGACATTGAAGCTGATACAGGGCAATCCACACACATCACAGCTCATCTTCCCGCTGGTTGGCCTGCTACTATCGTATGAAACAACATGTCTCTCCAGCTTAATGTCTTCATATTCGTTATAGTCCCTGGAATAGCTGCAAGCAAGCTCAGGCTCTTCTGCGTGCCCCATGGGCTCTGGCTTTGAGACCGTCTCATCCCTCTCGCCATAGCCATCGTTCACTCTCATCGCGTCATCTGCAGGGAAGGAAAGGCGAGACATGAGCAATGAGGGTGTTTGGCACGACCGAGGCAGCTCCGAGCACAGACACACAGCTGATCATGAAACCACAAAGCAGCAGCAGCGGCAGGAAAATCACTCCTCCTCGGAATTCAGAACCGCAGCCACGGAGAAAACACACAGCCACACCCAGGAAAGTAGATGGCAGGATTTTAGGCCATCCAGAAAATGAGAGAGAATGTTGTGGTTTGTTTTTTTTAAATTTTGTTTTTTAGTCATACCTGCTCAAAGCAACTGTGGAAAAAATGTTATTTTACACCACTCTTCTTTAGGACTGGGAGAGAAGAAAAGTTCTCAGGTCTAGTACAGCGGTTCTCAACCTGTGGGCCGTGACCCCTTTGGGGGTTGAATGACACGCTCACAGGGGTCGCCCAATTCATCACAGTAGCAAAATGACAGTGATGAAGTCGTAACAAAAATAATTTTATGGTTGGGGGGGGGTCGCCACAACATGAGGAACTGTATGAAAGGGTTGAGGCATTGGGAAGGTTGAGAGCCACTAGACTCTACTATCCTTTTTAGGAGCTGTCCTTAAAATGCAGGGTGATGAGCTCACAGGGACAAAGAAGGAAATAAATGCTTCATCCTTCAAATGCATCCACTAAGAAAATGTTTTGGAAAAGATGATGACAACATATGTACAGATGTATTTGACACAATGAATATAGGTATGGATTGTGATAAGAGCTGTAAGCCATCCCCCCCACACACACAATAAAATAAAAACTAAAACAAAACAAAAAAAGATGAAGAGCTGAACAGTTAGCAAGCTTTTCAGAATGGAAGCCGTGCTTAACTTCTTCCCTTTCCCTTCCAATGAGCTGCTGAAACAGGTCTTATCTCCAGATCTGGCTTGGAACGGATAAGGACCCACGGGTTGCAGAGGAACCCATCAGTACTAGCGCAATACTGGTAAGAAGAAGAAAAGGAGAAGGAAGTCTTCAGCACGACCTCTCAGGAGCCACTGCCATTGCCACACGTAAATGGAGAGGTACCCAAACTAAAGCAAAACTCCCCCCCACTGTCCCCAAGTCGATCCTGACTCCTGGGGAGCCCTGAACATGGAGGAGACGAGCACCACATGGGCTCTCGAGGCTGGGACCTCAGGGAAGCAGGTCACCAGGACTGGCTTTGGAGGAGCCTCTGGGCTGGTTTAAGCCGGCCACTTTTCAGCCAAACAACTGCACCGTTTGCTCCACCCCACAAATTAAACTCAAGCAGGAGACTTGTAGCGCTGGATGGGAGAAGCGAGCTGGCTGACCAGGCACTCTCCTAAAAAGGGCTGGAACACCCTTGACCTGAAAGAAAGAAGGCAAGTTTATGGACTGGCACTAACCCCTCAAAACCTGTCCAATAAAGCAAAAAAATTTAAGTCTGTGGGGACTTGTTCATACACAGGCAGTCCATGAGTTACAACGGGGTTCCATTCCGATGGAAGTCACATCGGAGTTCTGAAGGAAGCCTGCTTAACGAGCGTTTTCATTATGATTGCCATTTCTAGTCATTATTTCTAGAAATGTGGTCTTTATTTGTCTCTGGACGCTGACATGGGAATGATAATATCGGCCAACTGCTTGCTGTAACACGACATGTAGTACACAGCACTAGTGATCAGATACGGGAGAAAAAACAATGGACCATAAGTGTGGGCTGTTGGAACTTGAATACTCTGTGACGCCTGGGACTAACTTTATGAAATACACCGTATAAAATGCTTGCGTTATTAAAAACTGGGTTCCTAGAAACCGGAAGATTTACTTCCCCGTGAGAAATCCCAAATTGACGGAATTTTAGGGCTAGAAGCGGGATCTTTTTTTTTTTTTTTTAAAAAAGGGAAACCTTTAAACCAAACCCGGTAATTTTTCAGATAAGAAAATTCAGGAGTAGAAGTGTTTTGGGAGCTTGATTCAAGGTTACACAATCAGATAATGGCAGATGTGTGAATAAAATGCTGACTGGAATCCTACACCATCAATTACGGGGCCAGTCAAAAAGTACTACTATTCCATCTCCGCCCGGGTTTATTCCCAATAAAACACGTTTAAGCACGTCCCTGCAGTCACTGGATGGCTGCAGGCAAGTTATCTTGGTCACACACTTGTCTTGGTCTCATTCGGATTCCTTCACAACGGGCCCAATCAACACGGTGGCTTTCAGGGGATCTGCTGGGCCAGCGGATTTCACAGCCCAGAGGTCAGCTCAGAGGGTTATGGTGACAATGTTTGGAGATTCCAAAGCGGTCGTCATGATGGAGTTTCTCGAAGGGCACAGAACTTATGCATAAGAACAGGCGCTTACTTCCTAGGGAAGAGTTTTAAGAAAATTGAAATCTGCATTGGTGAGAAGAGGGCTCAGAAAGGTCGGGCAAGGAATTGTTTTCCATCCTGACGACGCCCATGCGTGTGAGGGCGGCCAGTCGTCCTATGAGAATTAACTCGGGAAACAGTCCTTCCTGCACCCTGCATCTCCGATCTTGTCCCTTCAGGCTTCTTTTTATTCCCCAAAGGGAACAAACATCTAAACGAAATACAATGTGAAAAAAGAAAAGAAATACAATTTGTGTCCCACACGGACATTTTTTTGACTTGGTGCAAATGGAAGCATGTAACAATTCGTCAGGGTGGATTAGAGAGATGGACAGACTGCCTTCAGCAGTGGACAGACCTAGGTGAAGGGCATGTCAAGAAGCAAGTTTCACACTTTGATATTTTTGTTTACTGAAGGTTTCTATGGTATTGTTCCAATCTCTTCTGACTTCTTCTCATGTTGGGATTTGACCTCACACCCTGCGCATGTGAAGTCAAAGTGGCTTCTTGACGATCTTCCACTCTCTCTTCAATGGCATAGACGTTAAAACCAAAACACGGAAGAAAGGATGTGTTAAAAAACTACATCCTTTCCAAAAAAAAAACAACACCCCATCAGAAAGGGCTGCTCCGGTTGCCACACAGGAGGAAGTACAACTGCAGCTGTGCCTGACTGGCTACCTTCAGCCCAAGTTTCAATTTTCACTTCTATCAAGATTACCTTTCATCTATATTAACTGTGTTTGCTTAACAGAGCAAGGCAGGCACATAACCACCAGAGAGAAGCCATTGCTGCAGCACGGTTCCACTGCCTCTCACCGCAGTTCATGGTTCATAGCCCTTCACTCTTTGACTAGCAGAGAGGCATGGCTGAAGGAGAACCATCCGTATGTTTCAAATGTGCCTGTCCTATGTGGACACATGCCCTGATCTCCATCCCCACATGGGACAGTTCATGCTCTGCTTTCTGTAGGCAGGTCTTTGCAGGTTTTCAGATGGAACTTGTGTGCTTAAGTGATTTTTGTTCTCTTAATTTTTTTTTTTTGTAAGAAGGATGCACCTGACACTCATACCCGGTCCCTTCCTCCATCTCTCCAGCTGCGGGTGGTATCCCACCAAAGCTCGAGTGCGCTTCAGTTTGCATGTAGGCGTGGAAAAGAACCTCAACGGAACACTTCAGCTACTGAAAACAGAAAACTGCAGAGAGAAAGGGCCAGCAGGAAGGGACTCTTCATGTCGGTTAGAAAATGTTAATATGAAGGGATGCTAGTCACTCCCGGCCAGTGTGTTGACTCTGAAAACAGAGGACATCACATCAGAAAACAGAGGACATCACATCAGAGAGTCCTCCCCTAGGATTCTGCCTTCAGTGGGACCGGCCCAGGACTGAACACCACAACCACGCAAGGCTGGTTCGAGAGCAGGTCCTGACTCGCCCCCCTTAGGAAGCCCTAAGTCAGAGCTGTGGAGCAAGGAAGCCATGCGGGTCTCTAAGCGGAAGCATGAGAGTCATGTGGACAGGGCACGAGGGAAGACATCAGTGATCTTGGATTCATGAGGTCAAAAGAGTTCCTGGTATAGTTGCTGGTTTGCCTTCGAAGTCTTACTGGTTCTAGATAAGAGATCTCAGTGACCTCCCTGCGTGATTACTGGGGATTAACAATTCATCATGGTTTGGGAGAAAGACATTGCAAGGAACAGTATGAGTTAGATTCCCAAGACGTTATCAGGTTTAGCACTTAGCCTTTAAAGCAACCAGGAAAGACACCAGTCTACTGCAAAAACGGAGTTCATTCCAAGCTTTGGGAGAAAGATTTACTAGAGCAGATAAAAGAGAAACATTCTACTTAGTACCCTTAGAAAATATTAACAAATGTGTCTAAGGTCAAACTTGTCGTCTTTGAACCCAAACTCATTTCTAATTGATGTGTTTTTTTTTTTTTTTAGCTATCTTAGCTTAATTTTCCCTCCAACAGTTTTATTGGCACATAATTTACATATTGTACAACTGAATCGTTGAATCATTCAATCGTATCAAGGGGGACTTGTACAATCACCACCACATCAGCTTCTTCCCTCTGTCCCAATCTCCAGATCTTGAAACGATGAAATCCTATTTCTTTCCGTCTCTACACTCCAGTTAAAACAAGACCTGTGTAGCTCTGGCCTCAGGTAGCTTACACACCGAAGCGTAGTGAGCCTGTCTTCAGGCTTTCTAGATACTAACTCCTGTTTTCCATTCCCTTTGTGTTTTACTGTAGACTGACACTGTAGTCGCCTAACCCCATCTTCTTTCACCATTTCGATGTAGACAGACTTACCACAAAGGTCATCTCTACTCGACATCTTCAAAACTTGCTCAAAATTCCCTGCAATCTACTTTCTGTTGCATAATTCACTGAATCTGCTCTCTTGAAGATCACCAATAATCTCCCAATTTCTACGTCCACTGTCATTTTGTGTGCCATTCTCCCAGCTTCTCTGTAAGCATTCACACTACTGATCATCCTTGATTTCTCTATGTTTTTGTTTCTTGAATGAAATCACACCTCCTTCCCTCACCTATCCAACAGCTTCTTTTAAGAGCTTTTCTCTCTCTTTACTGCTTCCTAAACACTGGCCCTAACTTTTTAAAAAAAATCATTTTATTA